ACTGGGTCCAAGAACCTAATTTAAGGACCAAGAGGATTTATTCCTAGCATAAAAGGATGGTTCAACATCTGCAAATGAATCAATGTGATATACATGAACAAAATTAAGGGTAAAAAGGTCATATCATTTGAAAAGATGAAGCAAAGAAACAGTGAACAAAATTCAACATCCATTCACGATAAAAACTCTCAACAAAGCAGGTGTAGAGGAAATGTACTTCAACATAATAAAGGCCATATCTGACAGCTGACATCACACTCAATGATGAAAAACTAAAAGCTTTTCCTCAAAGATCAAGAACAAGATGGACGGTTACTCTCACTACTTTTATTCATCACAGTACTGGAAGACCTGGCTGGAGATATTAGAAAGAGAAAAAAAAAGGCATTCAGTTCTCAAAGGGAGAAGTAAAACTGTCTCTATTTCTAGATGACAAAATATTACAGAATATATAAAATCCTAAGGAATCCACCAAAAACTGTTACAACTAATAAACAAATTCATTAAAGTTGTAGGATATAAAATCAATAGACAAAACAATAGCTGTGTTTTTATACATTAATGACAAACTACCTGAAAAAATTTTTTTTAAATTACCATTTGCAATTTCATAAAAAAGAATAAAATATCTAGGAGGTGAACATTCCAACTGAAAACTATGACACTGATGAAAGAAATTGATGAAGACACAAATAAATGGAAAGACATTCCACGCTCATGGATTGGAAAAATTAATGTTAAAATATCCATACTCCTCAAAGCAATCTACAGATTCAATACAATCCCAATCAAAATTCTAACTCAATTTTTCACAAAAACAGAAAAAAAATTCCTAAAATTCGTATGGAACCACAGAAGAGCCCTAAAAGCCAAAGCAATCTTGAGAAAGAAGAACAAAGCTGGAAACAGATACTTTCTGATTTCAAACTCTATTAAAAAGCTATACTGCCCAACTGGCGTGGCTCAGTGGTTGAGTGCTGACCTATGAACCAAGAGGTCATGGTTCGATTCCCAGTCAGGGCATATGCCTGGGTTTCGAGCTCGATCACTGGTGTGGGGCGTGCAGGAGGCAGCCAGTTAATGATTCTTTCTCATCATTGATGTTTCTATCTTTCTCTCCCTCTCCCTTCCTCTCTGAAATCAATAAAAATATATTTTTTAAAAAGATTGCTAAAAAAGCTATAATAATCAAACCTTATGGCATTGGCATTAAAACACATACATAGATCAGTGGAACAGAAATAAACCCACGCGTAAATGGTTAAGTTAAAAAAAAAAAGAGCCTAGAGTATGTAATAGGAAAAAGACAGTTGAGCCCGGCTGGTGTAGTTCAGTGGTTGAGCAGTGACCCATGCACCAAGAGATCGCTGGTTCAATCCAGTCAGGGCACATGCCTGGTTGCAGGCTTGATCCCCGGTAGGCGGTATGCCAGAGGCAGCTGATTAATGTTTCTATCTCTCTCACCTTTCTCCCTCTCTCTTCCTCTCTACAAAGACAGTTGCTTCAATAAATGGTATTGGGAAAATTGAATAGCCACAAGCAAAAGAATAAAACTGGACCCCTACGTTATACCACATGCAAAATCAACTCAAAATGGACTAAAGAACAGAATATAAGACCTGAAACCATAAAACTCCTAGAAGAAAATATAGAGGATAAGCTCCTTAACATTGGTCTTGGCAATGATTTTTTTTATTTGACACCAAAAACAAAGGCAACAAAAGCAAAAATAAACAAGTGGACTACATCAAACTAAAAAATGTATGCAGAGCAAAAGCTTCTATAAAAGGCAACCTATGGAATGAAAGAAAATATCTGCACACCATATATCTGATAACAAATTAATATCCAAAATATATAGAGAACTCACATAACTCAATAGAAAACAAATAACCTGATTAAAAATGGGCAGAGTAACTGAATAGACCTTTCCACAAAAACACATGCAAATAAATGCCCAACAGATACATGAAAGGTGCTAAACACAACTTATCATCTGGGAAATGCAAATCAAACTACAATGAGGTATCGTCTCGCTTCTATTTGATGACTATTGGATGGCTATCATAAAAAAGACAAGAAATAACAAATGCTGGTGAGAATATGGAGAAAAGCAAATCCGTCTGCACAGTTACTGGGAATGCAAACTGGTGCAGCTGCTATGGAAAACAGTATGGAGATTCCTAAAAAATTAAAAATAGCCTGGCCGGCATGGCTCAGTGGTTGGGCATCGACCTATGAACAAGGAGGTCACAGTTCGATTCCCAGTCAGGGCACATGCCTGGGTTGTGAGCTCAATCCCCAGTGGAGGCGTGCAGGAGGCAGCCAATCAATGATTCTCTCTTATCATTGATGTTTCTCTCTCTCTCTCCCTTCCTCTCTGAAATCAATTAAAAAATATTTTAAAAAATTTAATAGAACTACCATATGAACCAAAAATCATACTTCCGGGTATATATACTTATACAAAAAGGAAATGAAAACAGAATTATCAAAAAGATATCTGCACTCCCTCGTTTATTGCAGCATTTTTCACAATGGTCAAGATATGGAAACAACCTAAGTATCCATCAATGGATTAATGAATAAAAAAAAGATGTGATATCTGCCGAAACCGATTTGGCTCAGTGGATAGAGCGTTGGCCTGCGGACTGAAGGGTCCCCGGTTCGATTCCAGTCAAGGGCATGTACCTGGGTTGTGGGCACATCCCCAGTAGGAGATGTGCAGGAGGCAGCTGATCGATGTTTCTGACTCTCTATCTCTCTCCCTTCCTCTCTGTAAAAAATCAATAAAACATTTTTTAAAAAAAGATGTGATATCTATATTATATATATGTATATGTATACACAATAAAATATTATTCAGCCACAAGAAAGGAAATCCTCTCATTTGTGGCAACATGGATAGACCTACGAGGGCATTAAGGCAGACAGAGAAACACAAAAACCATATGATATCACTTTATGTGGAATCTAAAAAATCTGAACTCATAGAAACAGACTAGAATGATGATTACCAGGGACTGGAGGCTGGGGGAATGGTAGTTCTATTCAAAGAGTATACAAACTTCCATGTATAAGATGAGTAAGTTCTGGGGACCCAATGTACAGCATGGTGATTATAGGTAATGACACTGTACTCAACACTTGAAAGTCACTAAGAGAGAACTTAGATGTTCTCACTGCAAAGAAGAAATGGTACTTATGTGACATGAAGATGGTGGTCCTTCTGCAATAAAAAAAATGTATGCATAAAGCACTTCTGTTACATAACAAAAAAAAATTATGGTTGTCTAAAGGAAAAGCACTTGCACAAGTGTTTGAGCTGTGAGATGACTAGCCTTTTTAAAATGGAAATTTCCAAGAATAGCTGGCCGACAAACAATGGTTGTTTAGACTTGAGTATTTGCACATCTTTCTTAAAAATTAATGAACACTAAATACTTCAAGTATAACAACTTCAGTATTTGTAGCCAATGATAAATTTAAGAAAATTAACCAAAGAACTTATATGCACTGCCCATGGACATAGACAATAGTGTGGTGAAGGCCTGGGGTGATGTAGGGGCTGAGTGGAGGGGAACTAAGGAAGGGGGACATGGGGGAATACTGTCAACAATAAAAAAAATTTAAAAAAAGAAATTAGAATCTTGGAAAATTCATTTTTGTCAACATGAGCTTGACAGCTTCCCAATACTTAAAGACATTCCTGATGAGACTGGTGGTGGCAGAAATTAATTAATGTAAGTTTTGATACTGTAAATCAAAACGTGTCAATGTTGGGGACATCTACGTAACAATGAACCAGTATTTTCCCAATGAACCATGAACAGAGCTACAATGTCCTGCTTGGACAAAAACCCACTAACAGTGCAAGACACACCAGTAGGTTTTTAATGTATCAGTATAAAAAGCTCATTGATACAATTTTATATTCTACATTACAACTAACTTAAAAAAAACACACCATTTTCAAATTTTGGTGAAGTTTGCAAGGAGAATATCCAGTGTTTTGAGATATCTATTAAATACTCCTGCCTTTTCCAACTATATGTCTGTGTGAGGCTAGATTTTCTTCATATACTTCAACCAAGACAACATATCACACCAAACAGAATACAGAAACATACATGAGGACCCAGCTACCTCCTTTTAAGTTAGACAATAAAAGAGATGTACAAAAATGTAAAACAATGCCACTCTTGTTAAACAACATTTTGCTTGGAAAAGGTCATTGTTGTTCTTTAACTTTGTTATTGAACTAGAGGCCTGATGGACGAAATTCGTGCAAGAGTAGGCCTTCACAGCCCCGGCTGCCTCGGCCCTCACAGCCTCGGCTTCATCCGGAAGGTCGTCCGGTCGGTCAATTTGCATATTATGCTTTTATTATTATAGAAGTATTACAAATGTCCTCTTTTTTTCCCCCTTTGACCTTCTCCACCCCATTCCCACTCCCTCTCCAGGCCTTCCCTGCACTGTTTGCCCATGGGCTTTGCATATATGCATAAAAGTCCCTTGTTTAATCTCTTCCCATCCCACCCCCCCCCCCCTTCTGAAATATGTCAGTCTGTTGCCTCTTTCAATATCTCTGGATCTGTTTTGTTTATCAGTTTATTTTCTTCATTAGATTCCACATATAAGTGAGATCGTGTGATATTTGTCTTCTCTGACTGGCTTATTTTGCTCCTATAGAGTGTTATGCTAAGCGAAAAGGTCATTGTTTTTAATAAAAATATGCTATTTGTGTTAACATGTAATCAATTTTTTGTTATTTTTAAATGAAGTAAAATATTTTTAAATTTTCTTTTAATTTCAAATATGGTAAATATTGACAGATATAACCCACATGTTAATAAAGCTCACTGGGATCCTAATAATTTTTAAGAACATAAAGTGGGTACTGAGACATAAACATCTGAAAACTGCATTTCCAACATACTGCAGAAATTAAGAAAAGGAAAAAACAAGGTTGGGTGAGAGGATAAACGGACATCACTTACAGCAAAAAGGCCTCATTTACAGCATCGAAGAATTCAGGCCAGAGCATTTCCTGAGGTTCATGGCCATGGTAGGTGAGCAGAGCTTCCACCAGTGGTTCAAAATCAGGCAGAGTAACAAGTGGGATACAAACTCGTGATAGGGACCTTACTCGTTCAGGAGCCATTCTACAGAGTAAAATAAAATAAGAAATAATTAGCCAATCTTAGAGCCACGTGTAATTAAAGACATGTAACATCTTCATGCTGAGCAGGCTGATGACAGTGACTTGCTCTGCCCTGCCATAAAGAGGACCATCCTAACACCATCTGTGAATGCTCTTTTGTTACTCACTTCTCTAGAAAGAAACCCATCTGCAGTTCTCATTTTAACATCACTTATTTTCAGGACTTTGTCATAACTCACTATGGGCACCTCTAATGTGTGTGGTTTTTTTAATCTTTTAAAAATATACATTTTTTAATTGATCTCAGAGAGGAAGGGAGAGGGAGAGAGAGATAGAAACATCAATGATGAGAATCATTGATTGGCTGCCTCCTGCATGTCCCCTACTGGGAATTGAGCTTGCAACCCAGGCATGTGCCCTGACTGGGAATCGAACCAAACCGTGACCTCCTGGTAAAAAGATCAACGCTCAACCCCAGAGCCACACTGGCCGGGCTCCAACTTACGTTTTAATGCTACTGAGTTGGCTCTGACTCCTGGCAACCCTATGAATGAGTAGTATCCACAGTGCCCTGCCCTCAAAAGTCCTGCTCAGCTCCTGTAGACTCATACCTTCTTCTATGGAATCAGTCCATCTTGTATTTGGCCTTCCTCTTTTCCTGATACCTATTTCCCCAGCATTATCATCTTTTCCAAAGAACCCTGCCTTTTTGTGATGTACCCAAAGCAGGGCAGCTTCAGTTCTGCCATTTCTACCTTCAGCAATGTTTCAGACAATGTGCTCTAGGACCCACATATTCATCTCCAAGTTACCCTGCACAAAACAGAACTCTTGAATTCCTTCCCTAAATGTTCTCTTACCCTGTGCTTCCTCTCTCATTTGCTCAAGCCAAAACCCTTGAAGTCCATTCTTGATAGCTCCCTTTCTCTTATGCCCCTCATCTGATCCAGCAGTAAATACTGTCTATTCATCTGACTACCTCTCAACACTTCCATTGCTACCCCCTAATTCACTATCACTCTCAGTCTGGGTTACAGTAGGAGCCTCCTAACTTTCTCCCTGCTTCTGCCGTATCCCCCACTGTTTATCATCAGAACAGTTCCAGCAAATCTTTAAACATGCAGATCACTTTGCTTGTCTGCTCAAAGCTTTGCAATGGCGTCCCAACTCACACAGAATAAGCAGTCTCATACTAGCCACAAAAGCCCTCCACGGTGGGCCCCTTCTGTTTCTCTGGCTTCATTTCCTCCCACTCTTACCCTTGCCTGCTCTGCTCCAGCTGTACAGGTCTCCACCCACACAGGTAAGGTCCTGTTGGAACACATGGCTAGCTCCTTCACGTCATACAGGTCTGAGCTCCAATGCTGCTTCATGTGAGAGTTTCCCTGACCATCCCATACAAATGCACTGACCAATATGGAAGCAATCAGCATATGTGGCAATTTAAATTTATTGAAATGAAATAAAATTTAAAATCCCATTCCTCTGTGTTCAACAGTTACATGAGGCTAATGGCTTACAGTATTGGACAGTGCAAATTTAGAGCAGAAAGTTCCACCGGTCAGCAGTTTAATATAGCAAGAGCCCTCCCAGTTCACTGTGTAAGTCCTATCTTGTTCACCCTGTTTTACTTTTCTTCAGAGTACTATAATGTATCTGATTGTTTAGTGTTCATGGTCTGTTTCTTCCTGCTACAACATTAGCTCTGTAAGGGCAGGCACATTTTTTCTATTTTGCTCACTGCTCTATTCCTAGCATGTAGGGACAATACCTTATACATATTACATGCTCAAGAAATAGATAAGAAAAGAACTAGAAAGCAATAAAATGAAAGTTTGAAATATATGCAATTAGATGTTTTTCTAGGAATATATATAATCACAAATCTGTGGTCTTATACTTTGTGAAACACAAATGGAATCACAGTGGAACTTACAGCTGTCCTTCATTTTACTTGCTGCCTATTATTAAAAGAGCATGTGAGTGCTATAATTTAACAACGTCCTTATTTATAGGCACTGAGCTTGCTTCCAGTTGTTCACTATTATAAACACTGCTGCAGGGGTCCCCATCCTTGCATGTGCCTATCTATGTCTCATGTAAATATTTGTGTAGTAGATTGCATTCCAAAAGACTACCAGTTTACTTTTCCACTCTTGCCAGTGATATTATCAGTACTAGTGGTCCAGTGCACAAAATTCTTGCACCTTAAAAGGGAATTAATTAGAGGAAATATTTTAATATTGCTATTTGCCCTTTCTCTATAATAGAAGTGTCAGAGATAAAAGAAAATTAGTAAAATGTATATGAAAATCTCCCTCCTGTCAGAGTCTGGGGCATGCTGCGGGACCCAGAGTCAAGTGCCCGCCAACCCGCGCACGCCTCGAAATCATGTGAGACCCAGACCCGGCTGGCCCCACCCCCATCAAGCCCCACCGGGTGGGGGGCACAGCCTCAGGTCCCTGCTGATGGGTCGTTACAGCATGATGGTGTGATGACCATTTGCATATTAGCCCTTTATTATATAGGATTTTTATTTCTTGCTAATCTGGGCAAAATTATCCCATTGCTTTCATGTGCACTTTCCTGATAATTTTCTAGATTATTAATGTTTGTTACCCACTTGTATTTCCTCTTCAGTGAATTTGTTTTTAAATTAGTGTATTTAGTACTATACACTTACTATATTCAAGGTTGTTTGCAAGTGTTCGAGACACAAGAGCAAAGACAAAGCCTAGTAATGGAGAGAATAAAATGCCAGATGATATCAAGTGCCATGGTGTAAAGTAAAGCACACTGAGGGGTCAAGGAGGGCAGGGACTTACTGAGGGAAACATTTGATCAGAAATCTAAAGAAAGTGTATGAACAAACCATGTACATATCTGAAAGGAAAACGTTGCAGGCAGATACAAAGCAAATGTAAAGGTGATGAGTGTCTGAATATAGCAAGGAGGCTGAGGTTGTCAGACCACAGTGAATGTGGGAGGGCCTGAGGAAGTCAGGCTTTTGTAGACTACTGGAAGAGCCTGGGATTTCTTTTTAACTTACTTTTTATTTTTATCAAACTTATAGATGCAACTGTTTTAAATAGTCAAACAGTTTTCAAAGCTTATGAAAAATAGCTTTTGCAGAGCACTCCCACCCCCATATTATGATCTTGGAGGCCCAACTCATTCCTTAATATCAATGCTGTTTCTCTTGGGTTTAATGACTTGTTATTTGGACTCTTTGCTCATTTTTTCCTTGCAATGATTATTTTAACCCCAAACTTCCACCCAAATGTATAATCTTCTTGCAATATATTCAGACATATCTGAGTTTCTACCATTTTCATCTTCTTAAATAAATTTTTCTTAGAACATTTTGACCTGTTCCATTCTGGACAGGTTGTTTTTGACTCCCACTGTGCAGTTATTGTCTTGGGATCTCCATCCTGTGAATTTCCTGCACATCTCTCCAGGATCCCATATCTTCTTTCTTGGTTCATTCTTCTCATATAAAGATACATGAGAGGTAAAGTATTTGAGATCTTGTGTGTCTGAAAATATCTTTATTTTCCTCTCACATTTGGTTGATTCTTCAGTTGAGTGTAGAATTCTGGTAACTGTTCTACAGAAGTGTGAAAGTGTGGTGCTATGTCCTTAAGCTTCAGTGTTGTTCTTTAGAAGTCCCATGCTATTATGAATTCTAATCCTTATATTTGTAAGTCCTGTTTACCCCTTCGAGGCTTTGGATATGCTCTTGGAAGTTTTACAATGAGGTATCTTGGTATGGACTTATTTTTATTCACTGTGCTGGGCACTCAGTGGACTTTAAATCAGGAAAGTTCTCTTGAATTATTTCTTTGATGATTTCTATCCATTCTTTTCTCTGTCCTCTCTTTCTGGGAACTCTAATTTTTTAGATATTGAACTTCCTGGACAGTATCTTTTCTACTTGATGTTTCATCTCTTAGTCTTTTTGCTCAAGATTTGGAAAGAATTGTTCAATTTTATTTTCCAGTCCTTTTATTATGTTTTTCATCACCACTTTTAATTTCCAAAAAGCTTTTTTATCCTATGGATGCTCCTTCTTTTTAAAAAATAGCACCCTGTTCTTGTTTAATGAATACACTACCTTTATTTTCATGGAGAAATAGATATTAATTTATTTGAGTTTCTTTTCTTTGAATAATCTTTTTTTTATTTTTATTGGTTTCTACTTTTTTATATTACACTAGTGACCTGGTGCACGGATTCGTGCACATTGAAAGGAAATTAATTAGAAGAAATATTTTAATATTGCTATTCGCCCTTTCTCTATAAGAGAAATGTCAACCAAATTTATGATTGACAATAACAGATCTAAACACACACCTGCAATTGGTGCCAGCAAGAGCTTTATATGTATTATGCATGCGTGAGTCAACTTAGCCTTTTATATATTGAGAATAAACTTGCTTAATTAGACCTGCTTTCTGATGTAAACTATTTCCAGCCCAGTGAAGCACCCCAACTTCTCTTTCAGATAATTGTCAGCAACACAGTAGTAAACATCAACATAAAGCAGATTATTATTGTAGATCACACAGGGAAAACAAAGGGTAAAAAATTTAACTGCAGCAGTGTTTGACGACATTCTGCACAGTGAGAAAACCTGAAGTCATTTTCAAGGTCCACCATTTCTTACTTCTTTTCTGTCGGGTCAAGTTTCTAAACTTTCTAAATCTCCATTTTCTGGCTAATGAAAAGGAAATAGGATTCCACCGAGTCTCCTATCTACCTACTCCAGGACTTCTGTGAGGATCAAATGAGATGAGGCATGGGAAAACGCTTCACATACATTTTGTTAAAGCCTAAAATGTTTGCACCTGGGTATAAAGCAAGTTGTGTTCCTGGGCTGAGGAAACTCCAAGGAGGCTAGTCGCTAGGGAGAGGAAGCCAGGCGTTGCTATGTGACCTGGCGCCCACAGTGACTGTTTCTGGGCTGGGCTGTGGGCTGCATTTTGCGCCATGGGGTCT